AGACCCAGCAGCGCCCGGGCCTTGTGGAGAGCACTCCTCTCTGACACGTGCGGGGACCTGCTGCACTGCAGATAAAGAAATACCGAGCTGCTTACTTGACATCTACAATGAAGCATCTAGTACCATCTCTAACCAAGCCTCCAAGCAAGTGCACTTCCAAAACTGCAATCCTCCCAAACAATGGCGCTTGCTGTGGTTTTTCTGTCTCAGCTCATGGCCAGCCTGTCTCCCAGCTGTTCAGATCAGAACGCCCTGGAATTGGACTCTACTTCTCCCATCCTACACCTCTCACCAACGACCAGGGAAATACTCTGCTCTACCTTCGCAATATAATAAATAAACCAGGGGTTGACTCCTTCTCACACTGCCTACCCCGGGCCCAACGGCCTGCACTTCTCCCCCGGTCTCACTCTCCAAGGAGCTCCTCAGGGCCTCCTGTCCTGCTGGCCCTCTTGCCCTCTGGTCTCTGCTACAGCCAGAGCGGTCCTGCTTGGACGTGAGGAGGGCTCTACCACTTCTTCATCCAGAACTGTGGGACGCCAACGGCCTGCCATGACAACAAGCACCACCCCCGGCCTCCCTCTCCCTCCCCTTAGCCTCTCTGCTCTGGCCACTCTGGCCTCCTTGCTGCAACCCCAGCATGGGCCCTGCTCTGTGCTGCCTGTCACCATCCCATGTCCTTCGCTCACGGTCACCAACTTGGGCCGGTGTGGTGGTGCTGCAGGGCCCCGGAGCGAGCTGGAGCACACGTGGTGACTGCAGGTTGATCCCGTAAGCCCCAAACACCCTAGCACGAGCACTGGTGCCCAGACCCGCTGGTTGGAGGACTGGAGTAGGGACTGTGGCACGACTAGGCCCTGCCGGTGCTCCTCTCTCCTTCCCTCCATCCCTCTTCCTCTCCCTCCTTTATTTGCATGCATACACACTCTTATCATAAATAAAGAAAAAATTTCCGAAGCCACCCACTCAGACCCCAGCCCCCTGCCACCCCCCAACTCCTCTGGGGTGCTCACCTCCCTGTGGCCTAACAGCTGGCCCGGTATCCACCTGCTCCCTCCTCCAGCATGCGGGCTCGCTGTGGGCAGAGGCTGTGCCCCCAGCTCACCCCATATCTGCTCTAGAAGACATGCACTAGTGAATGACAGACTGGCTGAATGAGTGAGGGCTGGACCAGAGGCACTCGAGCTGGGGCCATGCCTGGGCAGGCCAGCACCATGGCAGGCTGCCCAACGCTGGCCTGCTCCTGCCCCCGTCCGCACTGTGGGCACAGCGGGGCCCCCGCTGGCAGCAGGCACACTGCCCACTCCAGCCTGTCAGCGGGGCCCGCTCCCTGCCAGAACAAACACGCTCAGGAGGGCTGGGGGCTCCAGGGGCTCCGTCATAAATGGTGAGACGGCTGATCACTAAGCCTCCCTCCCAGGGAGCCCAGGCTAATAACAGCTCTGCCAGGAAAGCTTCAGAGGCGCTGGGCCCACCTGCGAGAGCTGAGCTTGCCTGGACACGTCGTGCCTCGCCAGCTCTGGGGCTGCTGGTCTCCTCTGCGCCTCCAGGCAGGAGAGGCGCGCCTCTGTGACTGTCCCTGTGGAGAGCTCCCAAGGTCTTGGGCACACAGCACAGGGCTGAGAAGGCTGTCGGTGCCGGCCAGGGGAGCGGCTGGCCTTGGCCCTCAGTGAGATCCTGCCAGCCCTGCCAGTTCTGAGCAACTGGCAGAGCCAGGCTTGCAGGGGTGGTAGGAGTGCCCTGCTCAGGTCCCCGTCTGGACGGGCGGCTTGGAGCAGGACCAAGCACAGCCTTTGGGGCCAGAACATCTGCCTTCGCTTCTCAGCCCTGCTCCCCTCCCAAACTGGCTATGCCCCTTGGACAAGGACCAATGGTCTCGTCGCTTTGATCCTTATTTTCTCTTTTTTTCTTTTTATCTATACAGTGAGAGGTGTGCCTTGCAGCAAGTACTTGGAGCGCACACGTGCAGGTGACAGGTTACCCGTGCGACCACGTCAAGCTAGAGAACGCCCAGCCCATGCGAACCTCCTCCCCTCCCTGCTGCTGCCCTGTCCTTCATTTCTGGTTAGTCTTGCTGCCTACATAAGACAGCTTACTTCTTTTTTTTTTTTTTTTTTTTTTTTTTGAGAGGTTTTTCGCTATAGGGCATGTGTGCTCGCCAGACAGAGAGAGACAGAGAGACAGAAAGCGAGAAATCACCCCCCAGGGGAGATGGCCACATCGCAATCCCTTCTCCTCCATTCTCCTCTTGGGATCTTGGGCACGCACGCACACGCGCCCAGCTTGAGTTTAAGCCACTGGTCTGGGACGCGAACCATAGTCCACTATGTGGAAGTTCAGCGACATAGCCATTATGCTAACTGCTGGTCCCTCCTTTGAAGAGATTTTTGATATAGGGTACATGTGCTCGCTGGAGAGACAAAGATAGAAAGGCAGGAAGAGAGAAATCACCTCCCCAGGGGGACGGCCATGCTGCAATCCCTTCTCTTCCATTTTCCTTGGGATTTTGGGTATGCATGCACACGCACCTGGCACAAGTTTAAGCTGCCGGGTTTGGGACTCAAACTGCAAACAACTACATAGAAGTCCAGCAATGTAACCATTACACCATCTGCTGGTCCCTCTTCTACCTTTTGAAGAACAACGCTCTTCATTTTATGTAGTGCAATTTATCATTCTTTTCTTAAAAGATTCATGCTTTTTGCAACTCATTAAAAAAAAAAAATCTCCTTGCACTCCCAGAAGTGGAGCACGATCTCCTCTCCCTGGTGCTCCGAGGTGCCCCCTGACAGGAGCCAAAGTCCCGCCATGTGAGCGTCTGCTCTGGTGTTGGCCTGCTCCAGTGGGTGCGCTCTCACAACCTCACAGCGCAGCATCCCTGGTGTGCTCCTCTGCCCAGGCCATCGAGCTGGGCTTAGGTCAGATTCCTGCAATCTTCAGCAGTCAAGGAGGCTGTGGTCACAGCATGGTGCCATTCACAAAGCCCAGGAGGGTGACTTAGTTGCCGGTGGTGCATGTGCTCACCGAAGAGAGAGACAGTGAGACAGAGAGAGAAAGGGAGAAAGCATCCCCCAGGAGGCATGGTCACAAAGCAAGCCCTGTCCTCCACTGCTCCATCCTGTTGGGCCTGGGGTACATGCACATATCCAGTGTGTTTCCAAGCTGCAGGAGCTGGGATTTGAACTGCAGTCAACCATGTGGGATCTGCTCCTTTTACCACTCGGCCATTGGACTGGCCCCGAACAACTCTAACGTTCAACGTGATACTGACTCTTCTGACTGAGGGTTTATGGTTCCGTGAAAGGAGCTCAGGCAGGCTGCAGGGACCAGGGATGAGAGAGGAGAGTTGGAGGGAGGCGCGAGGGCAGGAGCACAGACTACGTGATTTGCCAGACCTAACGGTGAGGACCCGTCTCTACCCGGACTGTGCACCAGCCCAGCAGAGAGGGAGGGAGGGCGTGAGTCAGAACCGGCCAGCCTGGGGCTCCAGGGCTCCACACTTGGTGGGAGCCCGCCCGCCCTGGGCACAGAGAGCCCATCAGGAAAGCTCTTCCCATGTCAACTTCACAAGGACCCAAACCTGCAGGGACAGCAACTGGGAATCCCTGTCCTTTCTTATGCATGCCACTTCCGGACCCTAAGCCAACCTGGAGGCTCCCCTTCAGAATACAGCTGCGGGTGACCACTCCACACCACCCCGCC